TACTAATACTTGTTAGGATTAAGATAAAATAAGGGTTTTAATACTTGTTAGGATTAAGATAAAATAAGGGTTTTACTAATACTTGTTAGGATTAAGATAAAATAAGGGTTTTAATACTTGTTAGGATTAAGATAAAATAAGGGTTTTAATATTTGTTAGGATTAAGATAAAATAAGGGTTTTAATAATATTTGTTAGGATTAAGATAAAATAAGGGTTTTAATACTTGTTAGGATTAAGATAAAATAAGGGTTTTAATACTTGTTAGGATTAAGATAAAATAAGGGTTTTAATACTTGTTAGGATTAAGATAAAATAAGGGTTTTAATACTTGTTAGGATTAAGATAAAATAAGGTTTTAATACTTGTTAGGATTAAGATAAAATAAGGGTTTTAATAATATTTGTTAGGATCAAGATAAAATAAGGGTTTTAATACTTGTTAGGATTAAGAAAAGAACAATTGGAGCAATATTCCTTGTATTTATCTTGGGCTTCCAGGGCTATTTGCATGTTCAAAGTAAAACTTCTGGGGTTGATTTTTGCACTGGTAATAACTTGATGAAGGAGTTAAATGTTTGAAGTCTCAGTGGTGAAGTGATAACTTTGGGAAGAAGGATTTTGGTATCTGGATTAATAAATATAAGCTATTAAAAGCCGAGTGTAGTCAAAACTACTTTTCTGTTAATTACAAACTAGTGGTATGAGTTATTTCGTGATGATATACGTACTAATAGTGGTAATATATTCATATTTTGATCGGCTAAAGATAGTAAAGGCTGAGAGAATAAGTTGATTAATCGGACAGAAGAGTAGCTGGACGGAAGAAAGCAGAGGGTTGTTATAAACGGGGTTCAGTCTAACTGGAGTAATGTCACAAGTGAGGTACCTCAGGGCTCAGTCTTAGGACCTTTTCTCTTTTTGATTTACATCAATGATCAATAATCCACTTAAGTTTGCTGATGATATTAAGGTCTTGGGAGTTGCTGGCTGGGAAGAGGATGCTGCTGATTTACTGAAGGATTGAGATCATTTAGTGAGTTGGGCGAATAAATGGCAGATGGGTTTTAATTATGATAAATATAAGATAAAGAAAGTGGGTTATCATAATTTGAATTATAAGTATAATAACAGTGTCATGAAAGAAAGGGATCATGGTGTAATGGATGATCAGTCTCTAAAAACCATTCACTCAGTGTACTGTTGTTAGTGGTAGGGCAAATAGTATTTTAGGTTGTATCTACAGAAATATTGAATACAAGTCTAAAGAGGTTATAATTTCATTGTATAGGTCAGTGGTTAGGCCACATTTGGAGTATTGTGTTCAGTCTTGGGCCCCTTACCTTAGAAAAGACATTGACTTGTTGGAAAAGGTTCAGAGAAGGGTTACTAGAATGGAGGGGTTGTCATACGAGGAGAGGTTGAAATCTCTCAGATTGTTTTCTCTTGAAAAAAGAAGGGTTAGAGGGGATCTGATTAAGCTATTTAAGATCGTAAAGGGAATTGATAGTGTTGATATCTTTTTTTATATATAACGGTGAGAATAGTAGGACTAGGGGATACAAATATAAATTTTGGCAAGGTAGGAGTCATCTTCAGCTAAGATAGTTTTATTTTTCTCAGAGGGTAGTTGATCTTTGGAAGGGGTTTCCTTCAGATGTGGTGGAGGCAGTAAATTTAAGCGAGTTTAAGAGGTTTGATATATATGTATGAATAATAATGACTGGCTTTGAAAGTTTTTGTTGTCTTTTACTAATTTTAGTTTACTTTAATGGATGGGACAGCCTGGATGGACCAACAGGTCCCTTGTTGTCCCTAAATATTGTTATGTTATTTTGGGCAGGACGACTGGCCTTACATAAGAACTTACTACCAATTGGATCATAGAAGTCATAGTTCGAATGAATAAGTCAATTCTTGAGTTAACACAAAGTTACTACCCAACAATCAATTAAAGAAAATAACTTTTGAACAATAAATAGTCAGAAAATTCAGAACATTTCCAACTTAAAATATATCAACTGTGCAGTAATATAAACAAAACTTTTAACGAGTAAGCCAAGCCCAAAATTCAGGCTCTAGACCTGCTTTTGCCAATCATTTTTATTTACCAGACTTGAACAATGAAGCCTAGCATCGAAATGCTAAATACAGGTTTCCCTCTTGTCGAAATGCTCCCAGAAACTACACTCGGACTTGTATAACTGACACACTAATAACAAATAACCACTTCAAGTTACATTTTTATTCTGATAAAAGAACTTATTTTCTTTTGGAGTGCACGTAACTAGTCAGGTTTATGTGGTAGGCTGTACAAGCCATCTATTTTCACATATGATACAGTCTACACACTGGTAAAAACCTTATACGAAATCAAATCTTAAATATATATAATTTTATTACCATGTCAACCATACAAGGCCAAGAGGATAACTCATGAAATTTTTGATGTCAAAAGAATTAAAGACGTCTTCTATTATATGGGTATTAAGCTACAAATAAATAAAAACAGTCATTAAAGCAGACTCCAAGTCTGTATTTTCGGCTACTAGTAGGTCTATAATGACTTACTCGAATCTTTAACAAAAGCCACAGTAAATTAGAAGTTAGGCCTAAACAACAATACATTTACGTTATTATATAACCTATTTTACCATAAGAAACTTGTTGTATGACCCCCAAATGTTGCATAAGTTAGAATTAAAAACAGATCATGCCATAATTACTAAAACCATTAATATAAAATTTAATCACACTAAATGGCAGTTACCTGGTTTCTATAAGTTGTATTTGACATCTGAGCATGGTATGGGTTTGGACTTCTAACACTTCCCCACCCTTGAGCTTGAGGAATCACATTACTTCGGTTATTGCCAACAAATTGAGGTGAGTTTGAGCTGTTAACATCAACAGGTAGCCCTTTTGTCATTGTATTGACAGAGTTATAGTCCCCAAAATTATTCTGATATCTCTGAAAGGTATTTGGAGCTTGTAAAAGCTGGTTTAGTGTAGGAGTTGGTCCACCCTGTTGACTTATGCTTTGACCTGACAGAAAACGTTGTTGCTGCTGTTGAACTTGAGGTAATGAGTTATTTCCATAACTTACCATCATCGAGGCATTTCCTGGTCTTTGGGGAGGGCCCATGTTAACCCTCTGCAGTTGGGGAAACCTACCCTGTGCTGGATTATATTGTGAATATATTTTATTCTGCTGCGTGTTTCCACTCATAACATCACTAACATTAATGTTCCCCGACATACCCGATCCGCCATGTTGTTCCTGCAAGTAGCTGCCACGGTCCGTAGTGTACACTCCACTGGCATTATATCCAACGAGTGAAACAGAGTTAGTATTTTCTTGTACACTTCTGAATTCGTCACTAGTTGCAATGGTATTTCTAGAATTCTGATTCAAACCATGACATTCGAAATTCATACGGTGCCTTTCAAGATTTGCTGGAAAAGAAAGCTGTTCATGATTTCCATTACCACTCCCAGGCCTAGGTCTACCGGTGGACATTTCAGTACCAGTTCCATCTTGGTAGCTTTCCATTATCATCTCTCTGTTTTGGTTCCCAATGTTATTGATATTTGTTGATTTGACATTATTATTTATTCCATTTCCACTGACCTCTTCAATACAACGTTCATCTGACGTTCCGCATTTAAAATCCGTACTTCCATTTCGGGCTGAATAGTCGACGTTGTCAGGCCTTTTTTGTTCCGTACAGTTCACAACAGATTGTGCACGCGCTGCCATACTGCTGTGCTAAGCCACCACCCTATACTTAAACATCGTCACATTCTTAAAATTACGTTACATTAGAACAACTAAATATCATGGTGGACCTTGTTGACATTTGGGAGAACACGTGTTTTGAGTCAAGAAAGTTGACTATATGTTAAAGTAAGGTTTATACCAACGTGGCCTTATCACTGATATATATAATATACACAATTATTCTATGCACACTTCTAAAGCGGGAACCATCAGAAACGAAAAAAAAAAGGATATCCTTCCGCATAGCATTCTTGTTTTGTCACAAATTTAGAATTGATCAAAAGAGATATGTGAAAAGTTGTTTGACAATTACTTTGATTTTTAAATCTACTTTTAACTTGCAAAGGTTACAAGTATTAAAGGAAACAGTTTATTAGTAAGTTTAAGAACTACTTTCTAAAACCTCCAACTCTGCGAACTCATTCATGTTTGCTGATAAGTGAGGCGTCTAAGGCATTCTGCACAAAACGCCTCTGCATGTTATATTACCAATATGCCTGTACATAAGTTTCAGGCTCGTGACAGAAAAACTTGTTCCTTGTACGAGTACTTTAAGGAACGTCGGCCTCTTAGATAACATTTTGGCCGCAAGTTGTACGAAGTGTCCCGCTTCTGCTGAGTGCTTATATCGATATGAATATTTGTGATCAACGACTTCGTTTTGAATATTCACGTTTTATAAATTGCTTTTAAGCAACGTATTGTATATGAGGCTACTCAAGCATGTAATTAAACAAATTACATAAGATATTTTCAGTAAAATACTGCAACATATTAAAACATCAAAATTTACTCTCTTAAATGACATAAGTTGTTAATTTCGGTGATTAGTAGATTAATTCTGCCCGCACTTTATTAGCAAAAATTTCAATTATGTATTATGGCTACTTTACAAAAGAAATACTATGAACGAACACACAAAATAAACACAGTAACAAACACGTGTGGTTGAGTAATCGTAAAAGCACGATTATCGTTTGAGTAACTTATGAATTAGCAATCTATTTGTAATTTCTGTATATTTTCTTGCTCGCATATCTCTGTCCATCCTTCAAAAATTGTTTATTGCCAAAATCAAACGGGACAAATTCGATAAAATCCGGAGTTCGATTTTCCTCAGAGAATAGATAACTAATTGTGTATCTTTGAAGTAAAAACAAAAAGAAAACAGTTTTTAGATCACTTTTCTTCATTATACGCTTTGATATTGTTAATGGGTAATTTTCTTTTATCAATAGGCCTACACTTCGTAAGTATTGGATGGTGTAATTCAAAACACGTAATAAAAATTATATCGTTTTTAAAGTTTGTTTTGATTGGACTTGCGATCGAGATTAATATATAAAATATGTAGTAATTAGGTTGAATCTAATTAAACATGACGTTAATCTTTCCTGTACCTTGGTATTTAAGTGTCAAATACTTTCAACGGTACGGTAAATTTCGTTTTTAAAACCCAATTAAAGAGTAATTCTGTCTACTAAATGTAATTATAAAATAAATTTAAACATTTAGTACGCAAAAAAAAAGAATAGCAAATAACATTTAATGTGCCAATGGAGTATAAGAAACTTCTTTTTTTTTAGTAATTCTAGCGCTATTAATATTTCGTTGTTATTATTGTTTTGTTTTAATTCATAATCAGGTTTTTCTTGTGTTTTATTGCGTAGAAGCTTGCCGCAAAGGGTTTGATTTTACAATAAAAACCTGTGTTTTTATCTCTAATTCTAAATTCTATATGTTTTATTAAATTTCAATTTATGTGTTAATTCCTCGTACACATATTTAATTTAATTTTGTTTTTAATTCAATATTTCTTTAAATTTATAATTGTAATTGTTGATATATCACTTGCGCTTCCAGAAAAATAAATTTTCTACATTCTAGCAACACATTTATCATTATAATATTTTGCTACGAGTGTTATCATTTTGTACACTTTGTTTTATTATTAACTTCAATTTCGTAAGTCACTATTTTATGTCTTTATTTAATATATCATTTCACCCATCATACATATAAAACCACTATATCCATATAATTGCCGGAGTTTAACTTTGAAGGAGGTTTTTAACATATCTTTTAACACGGTTATCTACTTTAAACAAAAACTGGTTCATGGTAAAAATACAACGTCAGAAAGTCTAGGTTTCTTAAAGATGACGATGTTTCCAGATTTATTAAATTTGACATAGACACTAATTAAATATTACGTAGAGCTAAATATTGTAATTTTTTGCCGTTTGTAACATTTTAAAACAGACCATACTCCAATTTCTGTCAGTGTCTTTAAATACAACTTCAAGACCTATTATTTAGAACAGGGAGCTTTACTAATTGCCCAGTAATGGATACGTTTGAGATAATCATTCTTCTAGGCAAGTGAGTTTATTTGTACGACACACGGAAACGTGTCATTATCGTTAAACAGAATGTTAAGGTAGCGAACCTGTTCAGACAAATTAAGCATATTAAAATGTAAGAAAATAATGATTTAAATTTAAACCTGAATATTTTATTTTTAAAAGACTTTGATTGAATTATGTTTGTAAGTTATAAAAATGTAGAATCAATATTTAAGTTCAACTATTTACTGATGCACAAAAATATAATTAGAGAGTAATCGTTTAGCGCCATCTTTAGGGAAGAGATCTATTAATGACATTCTTTAAACAAAACAGTGTTCTTAAACTAGATTTTCTTAGAATAATGTTCGGACTAATACGTTTTTAAACGCACGAGTAACATTTTCAGTATTATAGTGATTTTGGAAGAGAGTTGTTATTATTTGGACGTTTACTCATAAATTTAATGGTATTTCAATTGCAAGAAATATTATGAGGTTTTGTTTAGACATTCTATATTCATTAAGAGAAAGATGAGCCCCCCCCCCCAGTGGCACAGCGGTTTGTCTGCGGATTTACAACGCTAGAAACTGGGTTCCGATACCCATGGTGGGCAGAGCACAGATAGCCCATTGTGTAGCTTTGTGCTTAATTTCAACCAAACAAAAGAAAAAGAACTGATCGAGTTGACAAAATGAGTCAGCGCGCCATCTTTTGTTTTTAATATAAACTATTAATTTTATATTTGAATTTCATTAATCCTGTTCACATGATAATTCAGCTTAACTCTTTACATTACAGTTTAACCTTTCGAAAAAGTAATATATATATATATATATATATGTTAATTAAAAAAGTTCATTTGAAAGTGATATAGCAATGTAGCTAAGCTAAAAATAGAAGTGAGATACAAATATAACTTTGACTTTTTTTTTTCTAAATGAAAACTGCGTTTTATATTGCGTCAAACCACCAGTGCCATTTAATGGTGCTAATATCAAAATTAAGGCACTACTATCATATAATTTAATTTTCATACATACTATATGCAGGTGCCTTCATTGATACTTTTTTTTTTTTGACACTAATTCCAGAATACATTTTAAAAGTATCTTAAGACTAATGAAAAGTACATACATATTATATAAAACAGACACCTTCATAAACTTTTGAATAGTAAATATCCAGGCAAACATAGAAGGAATAAAAACGTTTTAAAAGTCATAAAGAGCTGTGCTATCAATATTTGTCAATGTTATATTTCATTTCGTGTTTTATTAATTTGTCACTATTCTTTCTTGCTTGTGTAGATTAATTTGATTATATAATTTATTGTGTGAAAAATAAAGTAATCATCTTAGTTCATGAATCCTGAAAGATGATTAACATATCAATTCTGATTTGTAATTTACTTTTCATGCAGAAATATATTAACGAAAGAACCTATATCACTACTATGTTTGTTGTGTCCCCGCCGGCCTGATGAGACCCAGTATTGACCGAAAGGCCTCGTTGGCACTGGATATAGAAGGTGTATCGTAATTTACATATTATAATATATTTTACTTTGCTTTAACTCATGGTTTTTTTGCAATTACCGAAGTAGTTTGTTCCTGTTGGCGTGTATTTAATTAAAATGATTAATAAAATAGAATAAAGAAATAGTTTTAAATGAAATAAAATAAATAGTGTTGTGTTATTAATTCGTATCTAAAAAAAATCCCATTTGCAAATGAATTGAAATAACATAAATAATAATCATAATTCATTTGCTTAATCTGGCTCACACCCTAACGGTTGTTCTTGTTCTTGAAAATTGATGATATATATATATATTACTATTATGTCTACGTATTTCAACCGGCCTGATAAGCTCTGGAACTGGGTGAAAGTTTTTTTAGGCATTTGGTATAACAGATAGAGTGTTGTTGATATATGACAACATATTCTCCTTTGCTGTCACTAGTGTATTTTTAGAATATATTTCTTTTAATTTGCATAGATCACCTGAAAATCATTAGGCTTACCAAAAAATATATAAAAGGGGTATTTCATTAGGCTTACCAAAATATATAAAAGGGGTATTTCATTAGGCTTACCAAAATATATAAAAGGGGTATTTCATTAGGCTTACCAAAATATATAAAAGGGGTATTTCATTAGGCCTACCAAAATATATAAAAGGGGTATTTCATTAGGCTTACCAAAATATATAAAGGGGTATTTCATTAGGCTTACCAAAATATATAAAAGGGGTATTTCATTAGGCTTACCAAAATATATAAAAGGGGTATTTCATTAGGCCTACCAAAATATATAAAAGGGGTATTTTGCGATTCGCAGCAACACCTTCTAAAGTATTCATGTCAATAAATATTTCTCAAGTATCTCGCAAGTCTATTCTTTCTAAAGATCAGGAGATAAGGGCCACCCATTGTAGCGCACTTATAGTGTCTTATATACCCAAAGTAATTCCAAGATAGATTTCTTCATTACTTGCATTCTATATACTAAATTCCAGTCTTAAGAAAAGGCACGCTTTAGAAAAATTCACCGAGTCACGTATTGTTCATTCTCGTAAGTAATAATTACCAGCGAAAATAATTCTTTATTAACACTTACCAACTAATAAAATCTACACTAGATGGCGATAAATTATATATAAACACGACATAAATATAAACACACACAATCGACCAACTAATAAAATCTACACTAGATGGCGACACATAATATATATACATATATATATATATATATATATATATATATATATATA